CGTTACTCTTGCAAAATTCTCAATATGCTTTTAAAACATTTTTAAGTATTTTTAGTACATTTTTATACATTTTAACCTTAAATTAAGAGAACCTTTTTTTTTAAGTCATTTTTAGGCTCTGGCCCATAAAAAGGCCTACAAAAACAAAAATAGCTCCAAGCCCCAAGAAGTCTTAATCCGCCACTGGAAATAGGAAACACCAATGTATGGTTAAACCCAAAGCCTTCAAGCCCCAATTTTTGACGGCCTTTTCACCTGCAATTCTATAAAGTAATCAAGAAGTCATTAAGAGCCGAAGAATTAGATGTTAGGGAACAAATAAAAAGTCTTCAAAATTTTAAACTTGAAAACCCTTTCTCTAACTAAAAAGCAACGATAGAAATAAAAGTTGAGATAATTATGTTGGACGACAAGAAAGTGAATGTTATAAAAGATACAAACTGAACACAATCTTGCATGTTTGCTATCTTGCAACAGGACCGACAACACCGGGAAGGAGGGGGGCTCAGAAGGCCCTCACTTTTTTTCAAAAAGACTTTTTTTTTTTTTTTATAAAAAAAAAAGTCCTTTTGAAAATATAAAGGACTTTGCCTATATATAAAGATATTTAAAAAAAAAAATTGATTACTGTGCCCACCCCCACCCCCACCCCACTTCAAAACCCGTTTCGTCGGCCCTGTGCAATGTTTGTTCTGCCTATCCCAGTGAAATAAACTAGCTGAATTTAATTAGAAAAAAAGTATGCAATGAGCAAGCTCTAGTTTTAGGGCTATCCACATTACATTGTTGGATACAAAATTTTGATTTCATTTTACACTTGGGATATAAAATGGAAACCAGTCCCGGTCACCAGAAGCTCGGAAAAAGGAAATCAAAAGAAAGTTTAGAGAGGAGTTAAACATAGTAGTTGATACTTTTTAGCAGAATTTGGAAATACCAATATAGGAAATACTGCAAGAAAAGCATTTCTTGCAGCAGAATCTGTTTCTGAAAAAACAAGAGGTTGCTTGGACATCATTGTAAGGCTCAGAAACATATTGAATGCAGTTTGCAGTGGGTTCCACCTAAACTTGGATGCTTTTAAAGCATACTGCTTTGAAACTTCAGGACTAATAGTGGAAACCTATACTTCGTACATTATACCGCCCACACAAGGTTCTGGAGCATGGGTTTCTAATAGCTGAGCATTTGGATCTTCCCAATGGGGCCTATTCTGAGAAAGCTCAGGTAGCACAAAACAAGGCCATAAGATATGCAAGGAACACTTATGCAAAATATCTAGAATTTATGTGATACTGAACCAATACCATTATCTAAGGAGCAATCCTGTGATCTCTTCCATTGCTTTTAAAAACCTCAAGACAATTACTAGTCCTTACTTTAATCCTGATGTACAGGACCTCCTCAGAGGAGTAGATAAATAGATTTTTTTTCTAAATAAATGTAACTTTTTAAAATTTTTATTTTTCTTGAAAGAATTCACCTATCAGCATATAAAACCAATAGGATTACACTTTAATACATAAAAAATAAGGGAAATCAACATAACACATTTTTTTTTTTTTTTTTTAAGAAAATAATTTTTAAATGATTTCTAGAATCTAAAAATTATAAAAAAAAGCATCAAAAAAATTTAAGGGAAAAAGAAGGTCTGTGGAAGTCCACAACTAAAAACTGTGAATGAAAAAGACAATAATTTGATATGAATGTTCATTACTTTACAAAATTTCGCTTCACTGTGAGAAGGATCTAAAATAGACAGTTTTTGTAGCATTTTCCTTACTTTGGTCACTTTTATAGCCGGAGTGAGCAGAGAACCTAAAACTCAACACCGCATTTTTATCTTAACCTCGTTTGTTAATGGCCTAAACAAGTATATATTCCTGTTTTACCAATATACCATTTGCATTAAACTTCACTCTTAAATTTTAGACACTTGATTACATGTTTACAGAAAGTCATGGTTTATTTTTTGTATTTTGTAAGAGTTTTGGGTTCTTAGCTCACTTATCAAAAAACCTTTCTTAAAGTTTTAATTTAATTTAATACTGGGAATTAATTTTTTTAAAGATTTTTACAAAACTTAATGCTAATCTA